GGGTTTCCAGGCATGTTCCAGACTCAAGCTTTAAAGCCATGAGGCACCCGGGGCCTTTTCTTTCTCTGTGTAGATAGGACTGTGTACCCATGGGGAAGGGTCAGACACTGTAGCATGCATGATGCTTTTACTTAGCCTAGTCTGTGGCTCACTGTGTTATTTTGGTATAAGTTAACCCAGAGTTTTTTTATTTGAGCAATGGGCAATGCTAATGGGGAACGATGGAAATGGAATGTGCTGTAGTCATGTGCCACATAAGGACTGACCTATATATGACAGTGGTATACCATATAGCAGGGGTCCTCAAACTTTTTAAACAGGGGGCCAGTTCACTGTCCCCCAGACCGTTGGAGGGCCAGACTATAGTTTAAAAAAACAACTATGAACAAATTCCTATGCACACTGCACATATCTTATTTTGAAGTCAAAAAACAAAACAGGAACAAATACAATATTTGTATTTGCATGTGGCCCGCGGGCCATAGTTTGAGGACCCCTGCCATATAACCTAGGTGTGTAGTAGGTTATACCATCTAGGCTTGTGTTAAGTACACTCCATAACGTTCGCACAATGACAAAATTGCCTACCAATGCATTTCTCAGAACTATCCTTGTGGTTAAACTGAGGATGACTGTTTAAATTCCAGTGACTAGTTTCAGGCCTGGTGGCTCAGTTGGTTAGATCATTTTCCTGATAGGCCATGGTTTTGGGTTCAATCCCTGGTCAGGGCACATACAAGAGTCAACCAATGAATGCATGAAAAAGTGGAACAACAAATCAATGTTTTTTCTCTCTTAAAAAAAAAAAAATTCCTTCAAGAAAGGAAATTGCATGAAATAACCACAAGATGGCGGCAGTTTACACATTTTGTGAATGAGACAGTTAAAAGGCTTCTAGCAATTAATTCATTTGCCCTTTTTTCAAATGTGAAAAGAAACCCTGCAAAAGTCTTTGATAATGAGTTACCCATATATGCAACATTTTTTAAAATATATTTTTTATTGATTCCAGGGAGGGAGAGAGAGATAGAAACATCAATGATGAGAGAGAATCATTGATTGGCTGCCTCCTGGCCTGACCGAATGGAACCATGACCTCCTGGTTCAGCAGCTGAGCCACACTGGCTGGGCCACAACATTATTTCCATGGACACAGAAGAATGAAAGGCATCGAAGGAAAACCACCGAGCCCAGTGTTCCTTTTCTTTTTGGCTATAGCTTCTGAAGCTCAGAGTTGAGAACTATAGGGTATAAAGGGGGAGGCGGAATGGGAGATATCTGTAATACTATCAACAATAAAAAAATAAAAATATATAAAAAAAGAATTACAGAGTAAAAGTTTTGTTCAGTTGATGCTGTTTGTGTTCATAACCTGAGTCTGAGGATATTTGATCTTATCCACACCTGTGATGATATTTGTTATTTATTGGTCACTTAGCATAATGCTTGGCGCTTAGTTTTACATGTATCAACTGGTTGAATCTCCAACAGAATTTGGAGGTTGGGTTTATATGGCCCTTATTCCGGATATCATTTGGTGATGGAGATATCTGTATGTGTATTTACCTCATGTGCCCCAACCATGAGATTGGGCCTCTCTTTACATTTTTCAAACTAATACCACACTGAAGAATAAATTATCTGGTATAGTACTGCAGACAGCTGTCTTCAATAGAAATCCTCAGCACTCAAAAACAAGCCCAGTTTACAAAGTTGGTACTCATGTACCTGGTGATTTTGCCCTTAAAGATTGTATTTCATTTTTTTCCCTAGGAACCAAAAGGGATACAGTGCTTACTTGCCTTAGTCTTAGGTTTTAAAGGTATCACTTGGAAACAACACATGGGATTTTAAAATATCCATTTGATAATCTTTGTCTTTTATCTGGAGGTTTTATTACATGAGCATTTATTTGATTTTTATTGATTTTTAGAGAGAGAGGAGGGAGAGAGATAGAAACATCGGTTGCCTCCTGCACGGCCTCCACTGGGGATCAAGCCTGCAACCTAGGCATGTGCCGTGATTGGGAATTGAACCAGTGACCTCTTGCTTCCTGGGTAGCTGCTCAACTGCTGAGCCACACCAGTTGGACGGCATTTATTTTGATTCCTGATACGCTAGTATTTTAAATCCTCTTATATGCTTTCTATTTGGTGTAATTTTTGTTGTTTCTTTGTCTTCCTCCCCCTCCCTCCCCTTTCTTGGAAGTACAATTAACCTAAGATCACTTTAAAATTTTCCATTTGAGTTTTTTGGAACACACAGTTGGTATGGGAATTTAGATTCTTTGTGTGAGGACTGCCTTGTTAATATAAATTCTCAAGGGAGACCTTTCTCCTCTACTTGTACTAAGATCAAGAGAAATAAGTGTTCCTTTATGCATGCAGGTTTATTTCTTACTGCTCCTTACAGAACCCGAGGGACTTTGGGGCCGCAGCTTAGGGTGGGGCGCTACAGAGCACATTGGAAATGACTTTACTGAACTGAGGATGCCCAGTGTAGTGGCTGCTGTTGGCACCCTGCTCAGGTCCTCTCCCTGGCTGGCACATCGCTCCCCAGTTTCTGTGAGTGTGCAAGTCATGGGAAAATGAGGTGCCCAACTTGATCTTCACCAAAAGTGTGTTCCTACTTATGTGATTCTGTGTGCAATGGAGCTCTTTATGGACATTGAGCATGTAGGTTATTAGAAAGAAAGGGTCTGTCTGTAAAAAATAGCTTCTGACAGATAAAATTCAGTGTCTGTTTCATTTCCCTCCAGTAAGGAATACACAGGCAAACTAGGGTAATGTCACTAAGACACTAGTTATAATTCTCTGGGTAAATTGTTAAGTGGACCTTCTAATTCAAATCACTCTTAGGTGACCGAAAGAGAAGGAAGGGGTGGAAGAGAGGGAGAAAGGAAAGAGGGAAGAAAGGAAGGATGGGAGGAAGAGAGATGGTCTTCATGCTGGATGGTCTCTGGGCAGGCTGCATGGTGAAGTTTTAAGATGGAATGAACTGGAAACTCGAACCCGAGAATAGAGAGATGATAATCTAGACTGTTCTCTAATAACATGTCCTACCTGTAAAGCCACACCGCTTCAACACCCTACCTCTCTCACCTATGCCTTCTTCCTCTGCCCATCTCCCTCGCTCACTGGAAGTGTCCTGTTGCTTGAGAGTCCCGGGAGCCACCATGAACTCATCCTCTGATGGATGTCTTTCAAAAAACCTTTAGAGTTTTCTTGGTAGAGCTCTTGTAACTATTTGAATTAGGAAACCGCCTGTTAAAATATGTTCAAAAATTCCTTGTTAACCACCCCCTTCAAGAGATGCAGCCTAATCTTTCCTTGGAGTGTGGGCTAGACTTGCTGATTTAGTTCTAATGAGTAGAAAGTGGTAGAATTGATGGTGTAATTTCTGAAACTAGGTTGTAGAGGTATTGTGGCTCCCCTCTTGCTCTCTCAGACTACTTGCTCTGGGGGAAACCAGCTGCTATGTTGTGAGGATACCCCATCAACCCTATGGAGAGGTCCATGTGGGGAGTAATCCAAGTTTCCTGTTAATTGCAGCAAGGAACCAAAGCCTCTTGCCAACAGCCATGTGTGTGCGCCATCTTGTGAACATATCTTCCAGCCCCAGTCATATCTTCCAATGGCTACAGCCCTGCCCGAGATCTTGACTGCAATATCCAGAACCATAGCTGCCCAGGTAAGCCACTCCCAAATTATTTTTTATTTTTCAGTTACAGTTGACACTCAGCATTATTTTATATTAGTTTCAGGTGTACAGCATAGTGGTTAGACAATTCTATAATTTATGAAGTGATTCTCCCAATCATTCAAGTACCTAGCTGAAGCCCTACATTGTTATTACAATATTATTATCATTCCCAAATTCTTGATCCATAGGAAACTGTAAGAGATAATAAATGTTTATTGTTTTAAGCTCTTAAATTTTGGGGGACAGTTTGTTGTACAGCAATATAAAGCAAGTATTCCCTCACATAAAATTATGCATCACCAGAACAGGATAATTTGTTTGTGTTTATGGTGGGGGTTTAGGTATATTGATAGCCATTAGAAGCCTGACAGTAGTCACTGCCAGGAGTGATGACTGAGGCCTCTCTTGTTCCCTTCCCCAGGGGCTGGCATTATCCCCAGGCAGGATGACTCGAAGGCCAGGTATCAGCGTGGTGGCCAATGTTGGGTCTTGCAGTCCTGATGGTTGGATTAGATTCTGTTGATTCTTATGTTGAGGTCTCAGGTAGGTTAGTTTGAAACCGGGGTGTATTCTCCAGAAGAAGGAGTATGATGCACAAACATTTTTGGATTGGGGGGTTGGATCTCGGTTCCAGGAAGATGGGGCATCAGCCAGATCTTATTTAGTCTTGCCTGGAGATGAACTTGGGAAAAATAATTTATAGTTTATCTCACTCCATCCCAGGTTGTGCGTGAAGTTTTGGAGCTGGGCTGGGAAAGGGAAGGAAGGTGGAAATTATTTGAATTGTACAGCTTATGAAATCGCCATCAGGACTTTGCCTGACTTCCAGGGTGTGGGGATTCTCCTGAGAATCTCTGGGGACTTGATTGGGTGGTGGTTGAGGGACAGGACTACTTTTAGGACGTGCAGAGACATGGAGTGAGAGTGTCCCTTGATCCTGAAGCCGCATGCTCACCTGGGTCTGGGGGCACCAGGTAGAAGAAAGGAGGGAACTGCCAGTAAGATACCTGGCTACTGAAGAGTCTTGGATTGTGACTGTGCTGAGCCTTTGCCCTTGCTGGCAACACCTCCTCAATGGCCTGGCCTCCTGGCCTATGCTGCCTGGAGACATTTTGCATAGAACCCTGTGACACTAGTCAAGGGTGGGGATCATCCAGCCTTCGGGCCATGTAAGGCCCGCATAATCATTTAGTCTGGCCCTGCCAAGGCGTTAGAGGCGAGTTAATTAAATGTCTGACCTAATACAGCAGGCTAATTTTAAAGTTGATGGTTTTGTATGGCCCTCGAATGATGTTATAAATATCCAAATGGCCCTGGGCAGAAAAAAGGTTCCCCACCCCTGCGTGAACACGATGGTCAAGGCAAGGTTCTGCATTGCACCCTTTGCAACACTCCTCAGAGATCATCTTCAGCTTCTCCTATACAATAAATAGGCTATCACATTCCTTTTATAATTTGTGCATGAGGAAGATTTTCTGCCCTGAGCAATCTTAAGTTTCCTTCAATTAGATAAGAAGGACTATGTTACTCCCTCGTTGCCTTGCTGCCAGGAGGCTCCAGTGCATTTCTGGTGCTTCATGGCATCGGCTCCCCCTCAGACTAGGTTCTGGGTCACCATCTTCCCACTCACCATGGCTGGACTTGGGTCCATTTAGTTTTATTTTCATTAGCTTCTTGTACCTTTTATTCAAACCATCTCACCTCCTTTGTATAGAGGTGATGGTCAGGATATGGCCCCTGTGCACCCTCCTCCCAGTGGGTGGAGCTGGTAGAAACCTGTGTCCCAACATGGGTGCCATGAGTAAAGTCTATGATGGTGGTTTCAGCCCTGCCCCCTTCTCCCAAAGCCTGGAGCCAAGGGAAGGCACCATGAGTGTGCAAGGTCCAGAGCTACCTGCACCAAGATACTGGGAAGGACAATTATGGGGAGACAGGAAGCCATGGCCTGAGACTAAGTAATCAAAATCCCCACATTCAATAAGAGGAGAGAGAACGTGTGTGAGAGAGGAGAGAAAACACCGATTTGGGCATGTGAGCTGGTAGGGCTCAAGGTTCAGCCCCAGGAAGGGGCTCCTCTGAGTCCCCGCTGTCAGTGGGGAGGTCTCTGAGCACTCTTTCTAGAGGCTGACCTCCCAGGATGAGTCTGAGGCCCCGCATGGCCAGAATCTGGTCTGATGCCAGGAGGCCGAGATATAGGGAGGTGACTGGAGGCAGACAGCATGGTCCCACTGGCAGAACTGGAGGTCCCAGGGCCCTGCACCTTCTTGCCCAGGGTCTGGCTTTGGCTGGCAGAGTGAGGCATGGTCCCTGGAAAAAGAACCAAGACAAGAATGAGGATATGAGAGATTTTGCTACAGGTTTTTGTTTGTTTGTTTGTTTGTTTGTTTTTTGTATGGAATGGAGCCCTCTGGAGCTGTCCTGCTCGGTATGTAGATTTCAGTCCTATTTGGTGATTTGAGAAAGGTCAGCTCACCCTCAGGCCTCTGGGGACACCTTGGCCTAGCCTTTGCATGAACAGATCTGCTGGAGGAATACGATCTGCTGGCTGGAGGACTAGAATTTGAATGCTGGCCCTAGGCTAGACTCTCTGGACCTGGTTTTCTTGAGTATAAAATTGGGACAACAGCTCACAGGTGGCTGCCAGGGTCAAATATGATGATGGAATGGGCAGTGTGAACTGGAATTAAATCCAGTTTCCAGCTCTTTCACGTACTTGTTTTCTTCCCTTCCCCTAACTCCAAGTTAGGGGCAGTTACTGGCTTGTTCCTTACCAGACCCAGTTTCTGGGACACAGAAATGGACTAAGTTTCCATTATGGGTGGGCATGGCCTTGACTGAAGTCTAGGCTTTGATGTGGGCCACTTGCAGGCGCGTGTTCTAGGCTCTTCCGCTTGCACTGGCTGGAGGCAGGCGGAGTCACAGGATGGAAGGAGCCAGGGTCCCCGCATCAACACTTGGGAAGAAAGTGGCCATCAAATCTAAATACCCAATTTGGACATTATTTTTAGTGAGAAGTAAACTTTTATTGTGTTTGAGCCATTTGCTGTTTGGGGCCTGTTTGTTACAACAGCTAAGATCATTCTGGTGAATACTTCAAGGAGAGAAGCTAAGTGAGGGCAGCAATGAGACTACTGGAATTTTCCAGACTAAAGGTTGACCATCTTTCCTAAGCTCCCATGGGTATATTCAGATAATTCTTTTTTTTTTAACAAAAGCAAAAACTGCAGTACTGATTTAGTCAATATTAAATTAAAAGAGCTTTAGATCTGTAATAAGAATTAAAATTTGAAGAAGGGCAAGCTTTACAACAGCCGCCAGTAGAGAAAGGAGGGGAAAGAAGTGGGTCAGGAAGACAGGCACGTTGGGATTCTGGGGACATGTGACAACTGACAAACCAGTGTAGGTGTCTTGGCTTCTCATGGAAAACATTTTGCACACCTATTTTTCCTTCCATACATAAGTCTATCAGTGTCCAAAAACATCCATTCCATTTTTTTTTTGTTGGTGCTATTACAACATAGTATTTCATTTGCTCCATTTTCTGACCTGTGTGGAAAAGTTAGGGGATTTCAGATATTTTCCTCAGCCTCACAATAATAAGCTGCCCGTCAGTCACTTTCCTGCATGCCACGAACCAGTCCGTGAGGCCCTCGATGGGCTGCTGGTCGATCTTATGGACGAGGTCTGTAGCTCCACACATTTTGGGAGAATCACCAGGGATAGGTGCTATGTTGACACATCCACTTGTCCTCTTTTTGCAACATCCACTTGTTTACTTGTGACTTTTTACTATTCAGTAGTAACTTGTCCCATTCCAATGTCAACACTCAGTACTAGAATACTTGTTACTACTCATTTTTAAAAAAGTATATATTTTTAATTGCTCTTAGAGAGGAATGGAGAGGGAGAAAGAGAACCCACAACCTGGTATGTGCCCTGACCGGGAATCAAACCAGTGACCCTTCAGTGCATGGGATGACGCTCAACTGAGCCTCACCAGACAGGGCATTCTTATTCTAATATCAACAAAATGTTTGCTAGGGATGTACATGGGTGCCCTATTTCTCCTGACTAGTGGATCTGGAGAATTGAAAATAAACTGATGGAGGATTTTCATCTTGCAGGGCAATACTGTTATATGCTTAAATTCTTGTTTCTTTTTCTGATAGTCTTGCCTACATGTTCTAAAAGTATCAAATAATTTCTGCACTAAAAATTATAACTTATAAACTATCAGTCATCTCTTGTGCATCTTGTTCAATTCTCACACCAAAGGCCAAAATCACAGCATACTGGCACTGTTTAATTTTAAAACAGGGACAGTCCTTGGAAAATGGGATCACCTCAGAGATGGTCTCTTTCAACTTGACCTTTTCTTACTCCCAAGGTGGAGATGGCTTTTGATTAGTCTCCTCAGAAGCCCTGTGATACTTTGGAACATATGTGGCTGTTTCTTGTCCTTTTATTCTAGATATTCTAGTGTTTTCTTTTTAAAGATAATACAAACATGTAGCAGCTGCTAGGTGCAAATCTCCCTATGTGTCCTCCAAAGAAATCATTCAAAACAACATAGAAAACAAATACCTCCCCCATCCCCGGGCAGCTATGACCCATGTCAGCTGACACTTTGAGCATCTTAAAGGGGTGTGGTGGGACCAATAGTTCTCATTGTTGGGTTAAGTAGCCAGACATTAGAAGGGAACTAACAGGCTCAGGAGAGAAAGTGAAGAAGACAAAATCATTTCAGAAACAACTAAATTACGAGGAACAGAAAGAAGAAAAGTCACCACAGAAGACTTGGAGGGTAGAAATGAGTGAGGCAGCCCTGCAAGACAAGCAGTGCTACTTCCCCATGTTACAGAGGCAGCTTGTTTCATCTGTCCTTTCTCTGTGCCAGGAATTCTGTAAAGCACTTTAACACATGATCCATCTCATTTTCACCGCTGCATGAGGTCGGCACTATAATTCATTCTTTTAAAAAATACATATATTTTTATTGATTTCAGAGAGGAAGGGAGAGGGAGAGAGAGATAAAACATCAATGATGAGAGAGAATCACTGATTGGCTGCCTCCTGCACGCCCCCCCCAACACTGGAGATCAAACCCGCAACCCGGGCATGTGCCCTTGACCAGAATCGAACCTGGGACCCTTCAGTCCGCAGGCCAACGCTCTATCCACTGAGCCAAACCGGCTAGGGCTATCATTCATTCTTATTTTCACTGACCCAACTTCATACAGCTAATAATCACCCGAATTCTGATTTCAATCCCAGATCTGATTTCGCCACATACGCTCTTTACACCTTTCCATGTGGCCTTGAAAAAAGTAATCATGACATGGAATTCACCTGCTTTGGTGGCATTTTTGGAGCTGCCTTTAGCTGTGTCCTCGGAATCTCTGGCTGTGGCTCTGCCTTTGACAGATTTGTGGCTCTTCTCAACTTCACGGAGCTGCAGGAAAACATTAATGGTTGGTCTTGGCCCGGGAAATGGGTGTTTGAGCTCAGGATGGTGAGATCTCGATGGCAAAGACTCCATCTTCAGTTCTTGGCAACTACCTTAAATCGCCCGTTATTAGTCCTCGAGACTGACTGCAGGGGGCAGCAGAGCTCAGGTCTGCACAGCGTTTGAAGGTGCACCTGGCCCTGCAGGCTGGAAGCCCTCCAATCTTAGATCAATGGTTTTCTTTATCTGGGCAAGAGACCAGTAGGATTAAGGAAATGGGGATGGGGATGGGGAACTGGCTGTGAAGCAGATGAGATTCGTTCCGGTAGAGGCATCGAGGAAGTAAGGAGGACAGGGCCTAGAGAGGGTTTACATAGGTAGGAGGTGAGGGTGGGGGAGCTGGGAGACTGGAAGAGAGCAGTCTGAAGCCAGCTAATGTTGAGAGGGGCTGCCTGCGCTTGGAGGGAACTTCCAAGACCTCCTAGGCCACAGGCCACAAGCAATATGTGGTTTTGACAACACTGTTTTCTTTAGTATTTATAGTATTAGTTTTAATCTACAGGAATTATCGTGAGTACTGGTTTTATGATGTGTGAACATTGGTTGAATTCATTGAACTTCTGTTCTTCAGCAACCTCTTAAAATGTAAGTAAGTAAGTATTGTTATGGAGACTCACATATCCCAAGGATGTAAATGCATGCTGTTGAATCTCACAGGCTGCTACCTGTCATACACATGTTTTTGGCTTTGGTTCAGAAGAAAGCCATTTAGAGCACACAACTGGGTCCACAGAGCAAATTAGCAAAACACAAAACCATGGCATCAATTTTACCTCGACAGAGTAATAAAACTCGAGACAGACTCACCGCTTGGATTTTCTTCCTCAGCTGGGCATTAGCGCGGGAAAGGGTTTTGGAAACTGAGTTCAGGTAGTAGATGGCCAGGCTGTAAGAGAAAAGCATGTCTCCTGTGGTACGGCGACCTTGGAAAGTGACAAGAGCTGGATGCCTTTCCCAGAGATCAGGGCAGGCTTCTTGCAATCGGTGCCAAGGCTTTGCCCCTGGGCAGGGTGGAGAGAGGCCCTACCATCCTAAATCCTCCACTTAACATGGAAAAAAGTTCCTGGACATCCCTGCTCTCTCTATCTGATGGAACGTGGAAATGACCTACACAATCCTACCTCTCAGAGTGCTCAGTAAAAGGCGGCTAAAGGAATCATCCCTCTTATGGAAATCTGAAGGGGTGGGGGAGTAGCGGGGTTTCCTGTCTGCGAAAGAAGCTGCTTGTGTTTCCTGGGCACTGCCCGGTGCCAGGCTCTGTGCCATGTGCGTCCCACCCTCACTGGTTTTGATGAAACTCCATGAAGTAGAAATGATGGTTCCCATCTTTACAAATCAGTATCCTGGGATTCAGAAAGGTTAAGTAATTTGCCCAAGGCCAGGTCATCTATTAGTGCTCCTCAGAGCCAACATTCGAAGCCAAAGCTCTTTTCACAGTCGTCAAGTATGGAGAGAGGCAGAGCTGCTAAGTACCTGCTCCAAGTTTGCCTGGAAACACAACTACAGATGCCCTGGAGGTCCCCTGCTCAGTTGCATGGATGGAATTTCTTTCCTGAGTTGCTGGTTTTCAGCATCAGGCTCCCACTGGCTGATTTCAGGACTGGGTGTCCTTTGAGGTTATAACTGGGCTTCCTTTTCACAGGACCTGCTGGGGGCTATGACCTGGACTGTACCTCCTGAGAACAGAGAGGCCACTTGGGCTGGGTGCTCAGCCAGCCTGTTACCTGAGAGCTTTTTAGGTTCATCCTAATTGTCACTTTTCTCCATGAACTTCAAGCCTTAGCTACTCCCCAACCTTCCCCTGTGGGCTGCCACTGCCACTTCAGTAGAGTCTACAAGCTCTCTCCATACAGAGAAGGGAGGACGGGTAAAGGGACCACTCTCTGTTTTGGCACTTTCTCTGCACCAGGACTTGCCCTTTCTCCTAATTAACAACCCACTTATTAGGGAGGAGCTGGAGGTCAGAGAGGATAAAGTGTTTATGGGTGACTGTGTTCCCCCTGAAAAGGTCAGGTTTGGTGTCTGGGTTCCAGAATCTTCTCAGGGGGTCCAGGTTGTTATAGCATGTCAGCCCTCTCTCATGCCAGGACTAGAGCAGATGTTTGGAATTGAGATGTAAGGAAATACACCTATTTTGGAGAGCAGTTTAACACTATCTAAAGAGAATAAAGAAACACATACCTATGACCCAACAGTTCCACTCCAAGAGGTCTACCTTAGAGAAACTCTCACATGGAGACATATATGTACCAGGAGCACATTTGCAAGAGCAAAAATGTAGAAACAACCTAACTATGTCTATGCAGAGAAATGAATAAACTGGTCCATTCATTCATGCAATGGAACATGTAGCGATATTAAAATCTATGCTCATGTATCCACATGGATAAATCTTCTAAGCATAATGTTGAGTGAAGAAAGCTATGTAGTATGACCATTCATGAAAACATTTTAAACTCAGAAAACAATAGTACATACACACATGATGAAAGTACCAAAATAAGTATGAGAATGATTAAAGCTCATTAAAATAGCAGTTACCTTTGGAGAGGGAGGACGAGAAAAGGATTGGGGAGAACTTGAAGTGTATCTGTAACATTTGCTTCTCTTAAAGAGACAGATCTGAAGCAAATATTGCTAGATGTGAACATCTAAATTTGTGATCCCGTACATGGTTGTACTTTTCTGTATGTTAGGAATACTTCATAATTTTAAAAAACACATGCCAAAAATAGATATTTATAAAAAAAACTAATATTTTCCCTAGTATATTTTTGATGAGGTAATTCAAATTCAGGGCTCTAGCTTCCTGTCTTCTTTTTTCCTTCCTTCCCCTGGTCCCTCCATGAGCTTTCATTGTTTTCCTACTATGCCCTAGGTGTGGGGCTGGTGTTGGAGATACAGACATCCTCAGACCCACCCACCATCCTCAGGGGTTTCTCAGTCTTTGAGAGGGATAGTGATGAATGATGTTCTAGGCACAGGATGCTCTGTGGAGAAGTCCCATGGGTCCTGCAGGGACAGGCTGAACCAGTCCCTAAGGTTTCTCAGAGACTCAGAGCCAGAGGTCTTTGGTATTTCTAGTGCATGTTTAGGAGGGTGTTACAGACACTGTCAGCACCCACCCGTATTCTTTGGCCCCTATCTTTCAATATGCTCCCTGAAAACTTGCAGCTGCCAGTACCTTTACCTCTGTGCCTGGAACTTCCCCTTCAGCCCCCGGCACAGAAACCATTCTCCCTGGGAATATAGCTGGCCCGTATTGCTGGGCAGTGAACCAACACCTCTCCCCTCCCGAGATTCCCAGCAGCATTCAACCAGTGACTGATGGGAGCTGGTGTGCAAATGCCCCAGGTCCCTGCCCTTGAGTGGGGTAACTCTGAAGCACACTGTTTTCCAGGATTCGCCAGCAGGACTAACATCATCCCAGTGATAATAAAGCAGCTTCCTGTCCCTTCTGCTTGTCTTCCCTACTCTCTTCCCCCAAAAACTACTTTAGTTTGAATCTTTGTCTCAGGATCTGCTTCTGGGACATCCAGATGACGAGGGCAAGAAAGAAGGATCTGCTAAAGAAGTTTCAACTGTGAAGGGGAGGTTTCCATGAGGCAGAGCCAGGGGCCTTGGCTAACTTACAACATCAGCAGGATGGCTGGAATGATCAGGCCTGGATTGGCGATGAACGCGAAGATCTTGCCCAGGAAGGTTGGAAAATCATTTTCAACGGTCTCTTGGATGACGTCATACATTCTGTTTTTCCCACTGGGAAGAAGAGGACACATTACAGCATGCTGCAAAGCTCACACGGCACACGACTGTGTGCACGCCCCTCCCAAAGCTGCCGCTCACCACTGAGCCGGAAGAACCACAGGTCCGCCCCTAATGGACTGCAAATAAAAATGACCCCAAGGGGCTGCCCTTTTGTCTCAGGATTATAGCCAGTTCAGTGTGCTCACAACTTCTCAAACTACATTGGCCTCCTGCGTCTGACACCTTATGGGTTTTCACCTATACTCTCATGGGAGAACATTGCCTGTAATATAGCTATGGGACCAACACAGCTTCCCATGCATGGGAATAGTTCTCTAAAGACTGACGTGATGGACGACCTCATGGTGCCTCTTGATTTTTTACTATCAGGTTCTTTACAGAAAAGCTTAGCTGATCCCTGGTGTAGATAATACCTCTTACCTCATAGCATTGTGATGAGTGCCAGCTACCCCCAACTTGGGCAGGGCTCAGGCTTAACAAACTTGCTTATATGCCTTACTATGGACTTGCACACTCCTCTAAGTACTTTACAAATAATAACACACTAAATCCTCAAAACAACCCTATGAGGTAGGCCCTACTGTTACTTCCATCTTATAGGCATGAACCTCTGGTATAGAGAGCTAAGAAACTTGCTCAAGATGACCCAGCTGGCAATTGACAGAGCTGGTTCTAGAATCTATGCTCTAAATCAGAGGGCTGGCAATTCTTTTCTGAAAAGAGATAGATAATAAAGATTTTAGGTTTTGTGATCCAGAAGGTCTCTGTTGGCATTACTCACTTCTGCTGTGGTATTGAGAAAGCAGCCGTAGATTATATGTAAGCAAACAGGTGTGGCCATGTTCCAATAAAACTGTGTTTATACAAGCAGCTTGGTGGTCTGGATTTGGTCCATGGGCTATAGTTTACCAACCCCTATTTTTAACTATATGCTGTGCAATGCTGCCCATTTCATTCGTTTATATTGCTTGTCTGGATCTGATCTAAACCCTGAGTCCCTCCATGTAAAAGTGAATTTCTGTGAAGTGAAGGGCCTAGTTTAAGCATTGACTCAGTGTTCTTTTCTAGACAGTGGGTATAAAGCAGTGAAAAAGGAAGCAAAAATCACACCCTCATGGAGCTTATGTCCTGGTGGAGGAGACAGACAACAAACTAGATAAATAGGCAGAAGGAATGGCGTGTAGATGTTAGTAAGGAGATAGAATAAGCAGAAACGATGGTGTGTGTGTGTGTGTGTGTGAGGGTCTCCAGGGAAGGCCTCACTGAAAAGGTGACCTTTGAATAAAGACCTGAAGCAAGTGAGAGGAAGCATTGAAAATATCTACGGGATGAATGTTCCAACCGTTGATGGGTTTTGATCAGAGGAGTGACAGGAAGGAGGTGGCAACCATGTTTCCTGCTGAGTTCCATTTTCAGCTCCCTTCCCCCGCCACCTGGGTGGAGGCTGCCAGGGCCTCTCAGGGTAGCAGATGAAGCGGGGTGGGGCAGATGGTGAGCGCCTGGCCTGGCACAGGCCCATTCACTGGCCTCCTGCCTGGGGACAGGCGGGCAGCCTCAGCAAAGGGGCATTGGCATTTGCACCCAGAGCCCAGTCCTCCAAACCTTGCTCAGGACGGCTTCCACCACCTGTGCCATGTGGTTCTCCCTTCAGCCTGGCATTCAGGCCGTCTACTCTACATCTAGCCCTCCCTTTCCTTCTGTCTGAACCTCTGATCAGCCAGATTTAGTCTGTGGTGAGCACTCCTGCTACTCTCTCCTTTGAGCTCCCATGACACTCACTGTGGGGCACTAACTACAGGGCTGTATCTAGCTAAGTCCTTTATAAACTGAGCAGCATTTCCCAAAGTGTGTTGATCCACGCTAGTAGGCAGGGCAGGGATGAGTGAGGCGGGTGAGGCTCTGGGGTGCACAATTTAAGGAGGTATTCACTCCGAGGCTCGTGCAAATGCAGAGTTGGCACCTCACCCTACTCCCGGCCCTGGATGGGTGTTACATGAAGAAAGGGTCTGTGGCCAATAAGGATAGAAACATTAGCCCTAACCGGTTTGGCTCAGTGGATAGAGTGTCGGTCTGTGGACTGAAGGGTCCCAGGTTCGATTCTGGTCAAGGGCATGTACCTTGGTTGCAGGCACATCCCCAGTAGGGGGCGTGTAGGAGGCAGCTGATCAATGTTTCTCTCTCATCGATGTTTCTGACTCTCTATCCCTCTCCCTTCCTCTCTGTAAAAAATCAATAATAAAAAAAAAGGATAGAAACATTAGCGTGCACATCTTATCTTATTGCATGATTCCTCCAAGCCTTTAATAAAGGAGCTGCATCGAGCATTTCTAAGTGAGAAGGTGGCAGATAAAAGAGTCAGCATGTTCCAAATGGCTTTAACCACAGACTCCTTTTAATGGAGTAGAGAGAGGGCTTTGTTTCCAGAAGGTCTCACATTTGGAAAGAGAGCAGTAGAGGCACAGATTTCTCAATGTACCTCCTTGTATAATTACTAATCTCTTTATTCAATGTCCAGTCTCCCAAACTAGTCTGATGTGTACCCTGAACCCACAGTGCTGGCAAATTCTCTGCAAAACATGGAGTCCCAGTCAAGAGTCCCAGTAGCTGCTTCACCCTTGAATGGCGCTTGTCAATACTGTACCAGTATATGGTCATTTCATCTTCAGAATACCACCTCCCCCACCCCCCACCCCCATCCCTGTTACGTTATTTATCCATATGTTAAAAGGTTAGAACTGTGCTGTCCAATATGGTAGCCATTAGCCATATGGGGTGATTATTAAAATTAATTCAAATGAAAGCAAATTAGAAAGTCA